TTTTTTTTTTTTACAATTTGCTTTCCAAAATAATCGAAACTAACAATTTGACTCCTCGATTGAAAACTCTAATATCGGACAAAAAGTTTTTAACTCAATTAACGATAAATTTCAAATTGATCTTCAAAATTGATTTAGGGCTTTTAAGGACCATGGTGAGAAACAAAATGAGGTATGATTTGTCGATTTCTGGAAACTGATATATATATGTAATCGATCGACGAAGATAGTAGGAGCACGTTTAAAAAAAATTCTATTGAAGTTTTCTGATAATCAAGATATCCGATTTTCGATTGGGATGTGTCGTTTGAAAGCTTGCAGGACCAATTCATTTAATGTGTAAATCTTATGAAAATCCAACGGTCAGATTCTGATCAGTAGTTAGAAAACTACTAATCAATAGTTAGCTTTGTGTTAGACTACTAACCAAAATCCGACTATTTGATTTTCATAAGATTTGTTTCATTAGAAAACCCGTCTTCCAAGCTTTTAAATGACACATTTTAATCGAAAATCGGATATCTTGTTTATCAAAAAATTTGAATTGAAATTTTTTCTATATATACGTGCTTCTACTATGTTCATCGATCAATTACAGAGGTACCGGTTTTTAAAAATCGACAAACCATACCTCATTTTATTCGTCTCGCCATGGTTTTAAAAGTTCTATATCAATTTTTGAGATCAATTTAAAAGTTATCGTTAATTGAGTTAAAAACAATTTTGTGCCATATTAGAGTTTTCAATCGAGGAGGCAAATTGTTAGTTTAGATTACTATCAGAAACAAATTGCCAAGAAAAAAAGTTCGTAAGCCAAACTCTAAAAATGGGAATAGTTTGAGGAGCAATTTATATATTAAAATAAATAAAAAAACATGTGGACAAAAAAAAAAAGAAAAAAAAAGGAGTGGACAACAATAAAAAAAAACACGTATTTAAGGAATACGTTTCCATACAATTTGTGTAGAAAACGTATTCCTTAAATACGTTTTTTCAGTTTTCTTTGCAAAAGAAAACGTATTCAGTGAATACGTTTTATAATTAAAAAAAATAGTAAAACATATTCACTGAATACGGGGTTTTTATTTTGGTTCACTCTCATTTGTTTGTGTATTTTTTTTCCACACCTTAATTCTTTTTCAATTTTCTGGTAAAAAATTCATAGTTTGAGAGGTTAAATAAAAATTTCCCAAAAAGCTACTATATGAATTTTCAAAGTTTGAAGAATGCGCTTGGATATAAATATATCCTCTCAAAATGAGTTTTTTTTTTGGTTAATTTTTAAAAAATTATATGATTAGTTATTAATAAGATTTTGAGTTTATTTTAAAATAATATTTAAAAAATAATTAAAATTGACTTGACGTAAAAGTAGGAGAGAGATAATGCTAGTCATTGTTAGTTAAAATTATTTGAGTAGATCAATAGTGAAATAAAGTTTATGTGATGAGTAAGATTGATTGATTGATTGATTGGTTTGTATTATTTAATTATATTGATGATATCGAAATTGAGCTAAATGTTTGTATTATTTAATTATATTGATGATATCGAAATTGAGCTAAATTTTGAGTATGAATTTAGTATAATTTATTTATAAACAAACATAATCTTGATAGTAATAGGAAGCTTTGTTTAATTTTTAAGAATCAATGGATCCAAAACATTGATATTGTTTTGTTTTTTTTTATCATTATTATTATTTGGTTAAATGGAGTTATTTGTTATTTTTTGTTATTTGTTAAATACAGAATCTTAAGGGGTTGATGCTTGAGTATGGTAAAAAAATATACCTTGTAGTATTTTTTTTTTTTTTTTTCAGAATTTCATTAAAATCACCATCTCCTATATATAATTGTCTAATGCGCTGAGTCTAAGTGGCAGACCCGCACACTTCGAAATTACGTGGCAAAAAATTATACTTCGTAGCTAGACTTGGATGTAAATTAATTATCTATATTATTCACATTAAATCTATGATTGATCTATCCTTTCGTTTCTTATACAATTAGTTGTCATAAACTATTTTATGTTTCTTTTTCCTACATTACCATATATTACATTTCTTTTTCTTATAATTCATACACCAACCATTATCAATGTGTCTTCTTCTTATTTTTAAAATTTAAAAACTTTTTTTTGTAATTTATTGTTTATATATGATATATCAAATTAGTTATTTGTAACGCCCCGTTTCTTTTCAAATAAATTATAGCATTTGGATCGCGACTAAGTTTAAGTTTTGTCGGTTATTTCCTCTTTTGTGCCCTTGTTTTATTTAATTGGTATAAGCGTTTATTTTGTTATGTGCTAAGTGTTTAATACATTGCCTAAGTGAATTTATGTGCATAATTGAATTATTTACCTAAGTGATTAATTGACTATTTGTTTAAGTGATTAATTGACTATGTGCCTAAGTGATTATTTGATTATGTGCTTAATTGAATTATTTACCTAAGTGATTAACTGACTATTTGCTTAAGTAATTAATTGACTATGTGCCTAAGTGATTTATTTGAGTATGTGCTTAAGTGATTTTTTTTAAAAAAAATGGTCTAAATGCTAATTTAATTGCTTATGTGTTCAACTTTTATTTTATACCTAAGTGTCTAAATTTATTATGTGCCATTTTATATTCTCTATATTTGCTTAATTACTTGTCTATATGTAAATATGTATGTGGCCCTTACTTTAGGTTTTGAGCACAAGCACTATTTAGGAATTTCGGCCCAAGCTCTTAATCTCGGCCCAACATAATGTCTTGCTACCATAATCCCTTTGAGTTTGGGCCCAATCATTTTTCATTAGCAGCAACCCTTATAGCTTCTTAATGACTCGGTCTCTCTCGCTCCTTTCTTTCTCGATCTGCACCGAGCCTATCTTAACAGCCTCCACGATTTCCGGCCAACTCACCCACGATTCTCCCACCATCTCAGGCA